ATCCATCCATCCATCCATCCAGCATTTTGTTTTGTTTTTTTATTTACTGAATACACCTTATTTCATTTAAAATTACCACTTCATTATTTCCACTTTTTCTGGAGACTACAGAATGATTGATAGCTTTTACATAGGACTCTATATTTAAGTTTAGCACAAAAAGTACGGACATCTGCGTTTGGCTGATTATTTCTTTGTTGTACTAATGCTAAATCTCATACTGTTGGAGAGCCTGTTTATTTCCCCTTAACTAGTGCCACATTTGGAACAAAGAGCTCCGTGCCATAGGGCAACCTCAAGCTGTCTGGGTTTAGAGACAGACAGCTCTCTTTCAATCCAGTAACTGTAGCGTCTGGGACTGAACTTTATCCTGCAAGATGACAAAGCTTCCCGTCAAAGAGCTGGTTTATCAGAGACTACCTGCAGAATTTTGGAGTGGAGAGGATGGAATGGCCTGTCTGCAGCCCTGACCTCAACATCAACACTTATGGGATACAGCACTCGGATGTGATGTATCTGTATCTGTGACATGTACTGGCTGCCCTGTGACAAATGCTGATGGATGCCATACCACAGCAGTGTGTGGCCACACGCTGCTGAGGCCCGTGTTTGTTAAATGAATAAATTGTTAAATTGCTAGTATATCTTGTTTCTTCATACTTCAATCATCCAACACTATAAACAAGAGCCAGTAGCAGAATAAGCTGTTTACATACTCGACTCTGTTGCTCAACCCATAATTGTAAGTTTTCCTATGAATGTGGCGCCATTTAAGGCCAGATAAACAGGCTTTCCAATGATATAAGATTTATTGTTAAGAAGCATCAGTACAACAAAGAAATAATTGACCAAACACAAATTTCCTTGTTTTTAGTGCTGAGTTTTATGTTTTAGTTGGACCAACCAACAACGTTTCAAGTGCAAACACACAGACTGAAAGCTGGAAAGAGGTACGGGGAGTATGAAGAGTGTCCTGTAGACCTGCCACTGATTAAGGGTCAGGGGATGAGTTTGACAGTTGATTGGTCTGCTTTTATAAACAGAGTATCTTTGGATTTCAGACAAAAATCTTCCTGAGCAAGCTCAGATTATACGTTATGACTTACACCTCTAAACTAACAGTTTGACCTCACCATTTCTCGGGCCTGGTTCAGGTAGCTGTCAGTGCTCGATAAACACGTCTCTTTTTCTCCTCTACGCCCATCATCCGTCTTTCTCCCTGTGCTCCTGGCCTCGTGCTTTCCACTTTGAGCTGCGTTTTCTCTCTCTGTCTGCTGCTGCCCAAAGATGCTCTTTAAAAATGGTTCAGCATTTTCAACATGAAGATCCACCTAAAGTCAGGGAACAAAATATAGTCGTTCGAAATATCACTTTTCAAGACCGTAAAGTGTAAAAGATAAGATGTGCATTAAACTCACCTCTAGAAGGTTGTGGGCTCTGCCATGAAAATACACGGTCAAGTTGGCAGAAGCAGATCTTGGTAGAAATGATTTTGGGGAGAAAATTAGAGATGTTTCCACATTCTTGATTCCGACGGCTAAAACAAATACAAAAGAAGAAAATAAAGTAATATAAGAAGACATATATTTGTGCACCTTTAAATGCATTATCACCCTCCTGGTATAGTGACACTGCTCAGCACCTCATTTTATTTGCTTCCAAATCTGAAGTGTATCGTGCAGATATATGAAAATGAGTTACAGTTTTAAAATTGAAATACCTGATGAGACAGTATAGTCTGAATAGGAGGAATATTTTAAAAACTCGGCTTCAAAATCTCTGCTGATAATGTCGTCGGGCAGCGACTCAATGAGGGCTTGCTTTGCGGGGTCCTCGCTCCTCAGGACATTAGTCAGGTGACTCCACACGAATGAGCCCACTAGAGAAATAGAATAAGGGAAGAGCTCACGACATGCCAGGCCACAGACAAGCCGAGTAAAAGTCTGAAACATTATTGCATTCCCTTACATTCCTTAACAAATCCTAGCAAATAAACATAAATCAAACATGCGCCTCTAAGATACACAGAAAGGAATTCAATCTGTGCCATCACTCAAGAGTTTGGGGTTATATCTAAATGACTTTGTTTTGTTTTTTGACAGAATGTTCAAAAAATTATTTTTTATATGTAACAGTTTCTTCACAGAACTGTGAAAACTGTCTCTAAGAGAAGTTGTGACCCTCGCCACTTGTCCAGCTCAGCAGGAAGATAAGTGCATCAGAGTCTCTGGTTTCAGAAACAGATGCTTCACAGTTCTTTAACCTGCATCTTCATTTAATGGTCAGACCCAGACTTTACTGCTTCGGGATGGGAGTAGATCACACTGCTGAAAACTTCATTCTTTGGTTCCCACATGAAACAGCTTTTTTCAAGAATACAGTATTAATGTGATATATGGAAATTGATAAATATGATCTAATATTTATATTCAGAGAATATCTAAGAAATATTCTGAGATTTAGTGACCACCAAATATTCTGCTGTTTGTCCAGCACTTCACTATTTTCCTGTTTTCCACCATTAAACATTTCTGATAGCAGAAGCTGTTACGGCCATCTCTTCCACAAACCCCACCTTGACTGGAAGTTTCACTCCTCAGGGTCGTCTTCACCACTTCAAACACATCCAGGTCAGAGCAACGCATGAGCTGCTGGTATGCGGCGATTCTGACCTCAGTATCCTCCTGGGAAGAGCTGTACAGCTGCAACAGCACAGACCTCTGAGGGAAGGAAATCTCTGTCAGTACTGACGTTCGGCTCCTATTCACCTCCTCACCTTGTCATCTCCACCTCAGCTCACAGGGAATTGATTATCGCCTCACTTAACCATACAGCTCATGAAGGCTTGTCTAAGAATATGGTGAGCATAAAGAACACCAAGGGTGGTTTCTTATGATCTTTTAGCACAATTTTATTCAACTGCTGGCTTAAATATTAACTCTGAATTAACTCACATCAGCTGAGCAGGGAAAGCGTCTGAAGGCATGGATTGCAGCAAGCCTAAGCTGCAGGGCTGCTGAGGAGCTCAGCATGCAACGGCTTAGCAGGGGAATGAAGGCAGAAGCAGACACACCAGTGTTTCCCACTGATTTTAAAGCATAAAGAACCTGGTGGGCAACATAATAAATGCAAATTGGGCATTGTTTATGTAAATCCTCTCACAATTCATTGTGCATTAAATGGAGAGTGAGATGAAGTTCTAGGTCACTGCATTACCTCTTGCACCTGAGTGGGTTCTACTCCTTCACAGCCCTCCTGAAGGGGTTTCTCAAGGATCTGCATAAAGGTCTGTACCTGAGAAAGCTCAGTGCAGGAGTTTTGAGACCTCCGGCACAACTGATAGACTAGAGATGATCCAACCAACAGAGTCTTGGACCGCAGCTCTGGGAGCTCTGTTAAAGCCTAACACAAAGAGCAGACATCTGGGTAACTAACCTATTTCATGTGAGTTTTGATGAGAGACTTAGGTCATCATGAGTGTCATCAGAAGGTTCCTACATTGATGGAGGAGATGATCTTTGACGAAGGATGAGGGACGAGGGCTATGGTGGTAAGGAGAGAGAGAGCCTGCTCTTCTTCCACCTCTTTGTTCCTCATCAGGTCAGTCAGTAATATGATGCAGTTTTCAGATCCACATGCCGGCAGTGCATCCAACAGAGGCTGCCTGTCCAAACAATTAATCAACATCAGTATCAAACTGCTCATAAATACCTGATTATTTTAACTTAAGCTATAACTAACTGGACATTTCACTGGGCACCAAAATATTTTAGGTTATCATTTTTATTATTCTTCCTCACAAAGTTCCAAATTTCACATTTCACAAATTAGGAGTGTGACAAAAAAAATCAATACAGCATAGTATTGTGATATTTTTTGTGGTGATATTGTATCAGTACAGGGACACTAAAGATCAATATTTTATCAAATAATTTGAAATACTCAGAGAATTCTATGAACAAGATGGCTTATTTCATGCAATGCCATCCTGAGATTATGTTAGTTAGTAAACTGTTCAGCCAAAAAAACAAAAACAAAGCATCCAGCACTGGGAACACTTAGCTTGACAAAGCTACCTCCTAATTCAGAGCAAGCTAATGCCTGAGTGCCCTGATTAAAATAGGGCAGCAACCTCATTGCATTTAAAATCGGTGGTTGCCTACTCAATGTGTTCTCTATTCCGGGGTGGTGAGTAAATGGTTGCCCAGAGCTTGTTGGTGTTGCACACAGAATCACTTTTTATTACAAAGCGATTGCACAGGTCACCTGATAGGAGGCAACCTTTCTGCAAATAGTTGCAGTCGGACTTGGAGTTACTGCAATCACTCTCAGAGTGGTTGTCTGAGAGTGATTGTAATTGTTGTCTGATTTCTAAATGCAGACAGATTGTCAGCATGTTGCCATGAGTCTGAATGAGACTGTAAATGAGCACAGCTGGGTGCCAGGGGATTGTTTTCTGGTTATATTCCTGTGGAACAGGAAGGCCGTTAACCCTAAAGTACACAGATTGATATTAGACTGATTGTGTTTTATAGCAACAATTATGAAAGGTTTTAGTAACCATCTCATTTTGCAGTAAAAACAAACAAACTGAATTTGATCTCATTAGATATAAAACAGACATGGACACAGTTGACCTTTGAGGACATAATTTGCATAAAAAGGTGATAAATCACACATATGTTATTACAATACTCAGCATATCAGAAAATGACAAAAAATTGCAAAATTATTATATCTTGAGAAAAGTATTGTAATAATATTATATTGCCATGAAGTCATGCACTAAACCACACTGCACACTATCTGTTCTTGCCGCACCTTACTGGCAATTCCTTGCTAATTGCTTTCTGTTACTCTTGTGAGTAATAAATCATTAATCCACTGTGATAAGGCCAGATTTGATATGTTTAATAGACAAGGAGGTGACCCTGTCTTTGGGCCCGCTGGGTCATTTCAGTCACAGAATATTGTCTAATTAAGTTGGCTGTTATTTTAGCTTTACTCCAACTAGCAGTTAAGGGAAATATGTTTTATTAACTGACACGTGCAATAGTCATGGTGGAGACAATCTGGACTCTCATGGGCTAGTGGTCTGCTGATCTAGTCCCTGGGAACAAAAGAACTCAGTCCACAAATGGACTGAAAAGAGGAACCATAAAGCTTTCAATATCAAAAGTGTTGTTCCTGGCCTATAGATTCTGTATACTCATATGTTTACAGAATTTTTTACTGGCGGTAGATTGACAGGGAACTCAAGGAGCAACCAAAAGATACTCATTTATAAAACTTCTGGGATATACTGACCAGTCATTGCGGCACTTGAAAGAAGCTTCTTGCCAAAGTGTCTTGAGCTGAGAGATAGTCAGATCTTTCAGCTGGAACACCAGTTGAATAAACTCTTGTGATACCTTGGAGCAGAAAAACCAAACATATATAATATGGACTCAAGTTGCTGCTAACATATAGTGAATGTCAAGTATCAGCTTTTCAAAAGTGTTAAAGTAGAAAAATGAACCCTTATAGAACTGTGAACCAATCACTTGATCTTCACACTATAAGTTTATCATTTTAATGAGTCTGGGGCAGGGGTCAGCAACCTTTAACACCCAATGAGCCATTTGGACCCGGTTTCCACGCAAAGGAAAACACTGGGAGCCGCAAATACTTTTTGACATCTAAAATCAAGATAACACTGTATATATTGTTTTTTACCTTTATGCTTTGTGTGAACAACTATGGTTTGTTGCTTATGAAATCCATGAAGTGCGAAAGAGAAAATTACATTTTATTTATGTAATTAACACATTTTGAACTCTTAAAGAAATATAACAAAAGGAAAGAAACCCAGCTGAACTAAAATGATCCATGTAGCAAACAAAAACTGTTGAGAGCCGCCACCCTTATATCACCTTTGGGCTTTTGGAGCCTTGACCTGGCTTTTAAAAAATAATTGGAAAAAAAGCACTATGCTGCTAAAAAATTAAAAACAGATATTTGCAAAATTCTGCCTAAGTATGTATTTTACCTGGTTAATGTGTGTGGCGGGGCGTGGGGGAGGCGGACGCACCTAAGCGGTACCCGCAATCACGCCTCGCCGCCTTAACGTCTGTACCGTCTATGCTGTTGTGTTGGTATGTGTCGGGCTGTATGCGTACAGAAACCGTGTGTTAAAAGTGGTCAATAAAGAGACGCTGAAAAGCATGTTCATGGAGACATCGTCGGGTCTGCCGTGGTATGTTTACAGTGGGACTTCTGCTCCTGAACCTCTGTGCACAGCGTCTGCAAATCGGGGCTGTATGAAGTCACCTTCATCTTTACGCAGGACTGTAAACTGCCATCTGTGAGGCGTGAGCGGTGTTTGTTTTTAACATAGTTCACGGTGGAGAATAGCTGCTGACATAATGTTGATCCGAAGATCCATAATTGACCTACCTGGGGTGGAAAGTCTCGATAAATGCACGGCGTTTCGGCGGGTATACCGGCTTCCGCGAGTGTGACGCTTATTTTGAGCGATGAAAAAATAGAATAGAATAGAATATATTTTTATTTTTATATTTCAATATCACAAATCTTCCAAACTAACATAAATAAAATGCACTTCAGCTAAATACTTCTAATTTATTTTCCCAAACCATGCGGAGCCGCACTTAAAGGACTAAAGAGCCGCATGCGGCTCCGGAGCCGCAGGTTGCCAACCGCTGGTCTGGGGAAAGTCTTTATAAACCTCCCATGTAAACAAGTTGCCAGGCTGAGCGAGACTAACCTTTAGAAAGGATATTCATAGTAATCACTCTCTGAGCTATTGCACCAAAACCTTCAGTGGATGTCCAGCCATGAATTACATATACAAACACACCTTCAATGATCTGACATGGTGCAGTCAATGTAAGCTATTCACAGTCACTGCTGAAGAGGGCTGCAGTATAATTGATATAATTAAAAGATTGTGACCTGCTGCATTTATGGCCTACCAGTTGTGGGTCTGAGGTGAGGCTGCATAACATCCTGACAGTCTGACCAACTTCCTGTGGTGTTGCTGGTCTAGTTTTTCCCAGCCTTGCAGCTCCTTCATCCTCAAACTGAAGGTCAGCTGGCACACGAGTGCCTAAGGAATCTGCAGGGACAATGAGGAGAACACGAATCAAGGTCTCTGAAAGGGTAAGAGCCAATGCCACAGAGATGCGCACTGGCTAAGACCATGGATGCGCTCACGCTGTTAAATTGTCAAGTGCAAGAGAGTTCTTTAGCAGACATTTTGAGCCCAGTTTACCAAACTTTTTGTGCTTCTGCAGACTTCATGTGAGAGAAAGACCCACAGTTCACAGCATTTTGAGGCAAAAATGGGGTTAGTGTATTATAAAACAGTAAACAAACAGCCATGGGTGGAGTAACGGAACCCCAAGATTTCATGAAATCAGAGAGATGCTTGGTATAGCAGTCAGTGCTGACCCATTCCTATGAATGCCATTATCAAACCCTCATTAACCCACACAGGTGACATGTTTGGGACATAGGGCGGTGAGTGGGATTAGATTCGATTAAGGTGACTGCAGAGTCTTCTGACCTGCTCCTAGAGGACTTCCTGGCTGGGCTCTGAGCAAGAGTAGCTTAGACACTGTTTGGGTTTTCACCATCCCTGTAGTCCTGGACCATGTCATCATGGATACAGCCTCAGTACAGTTAACCTCTTCCATTACAGAGCCATGGCGCTGAGCACACTGTAGCTCCAAATGCATTGACTAGCAAAAAAGAACAAAAAGACAAAGAAGAAACAAACTCATTATCATCAGAATATGACTCAAATGCACACTTTAATATATGTTCTAATTCAGCTGTGCAGAGGACTAGCACCATCACTCCTTTTTCTGCCTTTTCCTTAGAAGTATTCATTCCAAATTACAGGAATTACACCATAAAATAACCACCATGTGCATGTTTATTCCCAACTTTGTCAGTCACTAATTAATGACATATCAACATTTCCAAACACTGTTGAGAAAGATCCCTAATCTTACTGTGTCTTCACTCAGAGCAACTGAATGAGGCCAGAAGTTTGCCAGCCTGGACTGATGGCACTGTTTTAGATCCCTGGTCTTCAGCAGTATGAGTCCTCGCCTCTCGTACCTGCTGATGCAGGTGCCGTACACATCCGTCTGAGGAAAAGAAAGAGTGAACGAAAGTTAAATACGCCTGGGAAGAATTTCTTCATATACATGCATATTTAGGAAATGAATGGAAACAAATTCGGTTTCCACTAACCCACCTCATTTTCTAATGTCAGTTTGGAAGCCATGGGGGACGTCTGGAACATGCTCAGTAGAGCCCTTTTAATGTTCAGAGCCCACACCTGCTCCCCCTCCTGCAGACAGAGGGCCGTGACCTTCCCCCTCTGGAGGGAGAACTTGAGGCGTGTTCTCTCCAGTGACTCCCTGGGAAACAAAAACACCAGATGAGGCCCCCACAAGACCAGGGAACACAGACAAGCGGAGCATCTGAACGGGGAATCAGATTCACAGGAAAAACATCTGCAGCATTCCAAAATGAGCGGACAGAATGGCATACACACACATGCAAAAGGAAACAGAAGAGAAGGAATTCTGCACTCATTCACTCGCCATCATCTGTGAAAACACACCGGACTGTATTAAATCTATACATTGGCTTTACCTCAGACTTTTTAAATGCTGCACAGAGTGCTCCTTTTGAGGGGAAAGCCGTTTTATCTGTGGATTCCTTATCTGTAGAGATCAAACATGCACATTAAATATCAGATTTTTTGTTATTTAATAATGCGTTTTTATTGTTGTTTTTTTTGCAAAAACTATTTTATTAAAGCTGACCTGCATCATTAGGTGACACTTGGAGACCACGTCAATATCAACCAGACAGTCCAAAGCCAGACCATTCCTGCCACCAGTGGAGCCGTGAAGGGTGCTGGTAATTGTCGTGCTATACCTGTAAGTGTATCTCACCCCTTTCTGATAGAGTAATTCAGAGGTAGGAAATCCTAGTGAAAATAATTTAGCAAATAAAACACAATTAAAAAATTGAAAAGGAAATTTTGAGGGAAAAAACCCTCCTTGTCAGTGTGCATGCATCCATAAATCTGAGATCCATTAGACTAAGTAACAAAGATCTTACCAGAACAACTTAAATCACAGAGATTTGGTTTCCCCTGTAGGCAATCACCTACTGAAAAGGAAAAAAAACAACTCAGGCATATCGACAGAACATTACAGCCCTTGTCAAACTTCTATACATAACATCTACTACAGCCAAACCCTGTTTTGACTGGAAAATGAATTCACTCTTCAAGAACTAATATAACAAAGCAAACCATAAAACTTACCATGTAGCAGGAGAAAAATAAGTACACCATTGAAGAGTAACAACAATACTGCCATAGCAACCCACTACAGGTCTGGCTGCCTCCGATCCTCCACATATGAGTGAGATGAAAACCAAGCACTGTTCACAGGCACTGAATGACCAGGCTTGTACATGGGCTTCCTCTGTGACCCATACTGCTCACAGCAACCAATCAGGAAATACCTTCCAAGACTGAAGCTACAAACATTCACTGAGCCAATCACTTGACAGAACACCGGGCCTCACAAAACATCAAGTTTTCTTACACCCTTGTTGACTTGGACAGACATAAGACATGAACCACGTAAAGAGAGAATTTCTTTGCAAAGCTGGCAGCTGCACGGATACTGAGTTGGAGACTGGGGTGTTTGCAGGATTTTTAAAATGGGGCGGCACACAGGTAACTAAGTAAGAAATATAAATACCAAACCACTTAAAATTGGTAGGGTGTGGTTCAAAGCTCTGTATGGCATTTTTTGAAAGCCTCTAACAAGCCTGAAAGTCAATATTTGGTGTGACCATCTTTATTTTTCAACACAGCTCTCCTGTAATTTCTTTAAGTAATCTTAAGGAATAGTCCTCCAGGCCTCTTCTTTGGATGTTGGCTGCTTTTTGTTCTGTTCTCTGTTAATGTGATCCCACATTACTTCAATAATGTTGAGGTCCGGGCTCTACGGAGGCCAATCCATGACTGATAGTGCGCCATTGTGTGTTTTTCTACCCAGGTATGCTTTACGGCATCGGCAGTGTTTTTGGGATCATTGTCGTGCTCAAACAGATTCCAGATTGTATACCTGACGGTACTTTCCTGTGTTAATTCCATTCTATAAGTCCATCAAGTTTAGCAAGATCTCCACATCTCAGCATCACTGACCGAAATGCAACTCAAAACCATGACAGAGCCTCCACCATGTTTTGCAGATGGCTATAGACACTCACTGTTGTAACTCTCGCCTGACCTCCTCTGTACATATTGATGATAATTCGAACTGACATTTTCAAATTTGGATTCAACACTCCATCAGACACGTTGTCACTGATTTTCAGTCTAGTTATTTTGTGATCTGGCATATCTCAGCATTTTTTCCTTGTTTCCAGTCCTTCAGAATGGCTTCTTGACAGCCACCCTTCCAGTGAGACCATTTCTGATGAAGCTTCAATGAACAGTAGATGGATCAACTGAAGGAGTAGTTGCATCTCTCATTTCCTGCATCAGGCCTTTGATGGACTTTGCTATTTTTGAAGGACATGCTTTCAGATATTGTTCATCTACTGTAGGTTTTTAGGCCTGAACACACTATGCATCCTGAGATAGGGCAAGCTTTTAGCTAATAGCTCTTTGGGAATCACCTTGTTAGTGCAAAAATACTATTTTCTGTTATCTTTGGCATTTTTTTATAGATCTAACTAATGGAATGGTAACAAATTATGTTTTTGTGATAGGCTGCTACTAACAAAGTGTCAAAAGATACAATTTAAAACTGGTTCTTTGCTAAGTTGCCTGTTATGTGTACACAGAACACGGGTTCATCCCTTGTGTTCGTTGCCTTTTCCGTGCTTGGATGATTCATAGGTCAGTGTTAAGTAGCTTTAAACAAACAAAAAACATTCCTCTAAAAATGGAAAGGTACAAGGACTGGACTGAACATGAGTGAAAAGCAGCCACTGTCCAAAGAATAACTCTGAATGACCTTCAGGCATCCTGGAGAACTACTGCTCAAGAGAAGAAAGTCTGGCTCACTTGAAGCAAAATAAAAAGAAATGAGGGGTGGCGGAAGACTTTTGCACAGCTCGCGTAGCTACTAGTGGGAGGAGTAATCAAACTTTAGATGGGAGTGGTGCCATCCCATGCCCCCAGACAGGAGTGCTGACCTAGACACAGTACAAAGTGACTGACACAAAAAAAGAACTTTCAGAAGAATAATTTCCTTATACTTATACACTACTACACTAAACATTTGTTACTGAAGTGAAAAGCTGATCCACAAACTTTTCAGAAGACAAAGAAACACAGCTGAGAGCAGTTAACGCATGAAAATAGGGACATCTAGTGTTTGTGTGGTATGGATAACAAGCAGGTGGGGAAGTAGAGGCTTTGGCAGCTATGATGGCGTTTTTACAGAATTATTTTCACCCCCACCACTCGGCCACGTTCCTTATTCTCAGACTGAGCTCAAACTAAATTATACAACACGCCTTTCATCCCCATCTCCTTCCCCCATCGTTTAACAGGCAGGCTTCCAGTGCCACCTACTTTCCACGATGCACCCAAACCCGCGGTCCACGCCCGTGCTGCGACGTCAGTCACTGCGAGATTCTGGTCCGCGCGGCATTCAAGATTCTGAAAAATCGTATTTTACAACTTCCTGTAAAAAAAAAAAAAAAATAAACCCCCTTTGCCCCAAAATTCAAGCAAGAACTTGCAAAAACAATTAACCTGGTAACCTTAAAAGCAAAAAGAAGAATCAACCGTTAAAAAAATGACACGTTCACAGGTGTACCTAAACGATGATATCTTCAAATTATGTCAGTTTTTATCTTCAGTACATGGGTGAGTTTGCCATATCTGTTAAATGACACGGATGTGGGTATCTGTAACAACAACATCAGAGAGTTATCCAGAGCTTTGTAGACATTTGTACCAGTGTACGCCACCAAAAAGCGTTCACCGATGAGCCTGAACGCATCGTCAGTCCGGGACCAGGGGGCGTAGGTTTGACCGGCTTCTGGGAGGCTCAGACACAATGAACCGTCAGACAGTGAGGGGCACGCATGTAGGACCGGGAGAATTAACACGGTCTTAGTGTGTTATTGCATGTAAAGGTGCCGTTTCTTTGTTTTATTCAGTGATTCTCAAGCTGCTGAGACGCTGTATGGCGGTAACAAGGCTCTGCTGGAAGCGGTTTGTTCGTCCAGTTTGATGAAAACGAGGTCGGGATCAGACGAACGTTACCGTTAGCCCCTCCTGGTCGATTGTTTTTTAACTCTTGTTTTTTTTGTTTTGTTTTTTTTAGCTAAATACAACAAAGCAAAGTAGATAACGATGTCGCTGATTGCGTCGTCTGATTATTTCGCTGCCGAGTGTCTGGTATCGATATCTAGCGGTCCTGTTCTACACAGACCCACCCCGGTCGCCCCCGCCAACCAGCATGCCTCGGTGGGCCTGCTCCCCGGGGAGCCCGAAGGGTCGAGTGAGGACAGGGAAGTGCGGGACACGCTGAGGCTGGAGGGAGCTAACGTGGTGGCGGTGGCCGGTATCCTCACCGACCTACACGGCAAGTTCCGCCCCATGTCGGCCTATTCGGAGAACAGCAACTCCTCGTGTGGTGGGGAGAGCGGTTACACCACGTTGTCCGACCCGACCACCCCTACCATGACCCCCACCGCCACCCCGGTCCCCGGACAGCAGCACCAGCAGCGGGCCGGGGGAGCAGGAGGAGGGGTGAAGCGACACCGGTGCACTTTTAACGGATGCGACAGAGTTTATGGGAAATCTTCCCACCTGAAGGCACACATCCGGACGCACACAGGTATGGAGGGGAACGACCACAACACATCGGTCATGTCAGCAGTTCACATGTCATGTATTTACACAGCCTTAGCTAGACCCTTGGCATAGCTCAACTTTGTACCCCTAACTTCTGCTTTCCTCGGTGCCATGTAAGCAGACGGTTTTATCGTTTAATCAGACCTATATGAGGGGTGGGAGTGCTGTGCCTTTCGCTAACTACTGTAAGCGTGCCTGCTGGCTGCTTCTTTATGATTTTTTTTTCTTTTTAGAACTTGTTAAAGTAATTTAGCCAAACAAAGGGGGAAACGCTCCCCTCGGAGTCTGACAAAGAAGTAAACCAACAAAAGAACTGGGCAGGACGTTAAAACCTGTGACGAAAGTCTTCCTCTCGGCTGGATTTGCATATGAAATGAACGTAAGACGAAACCTTAAAGTTGAAAGCGCTGAAAATGATAGTGGGACAACGTAAAAGGCCTCAGCAAGTGCTTGGCGCTGTGTAGTTTTTCTCTGGGCATCACACTCTCACCCTCACGTATGCTGACAAGTTGAAATCAATCCTCCGCGATGTGTAAATTATTGATCAAATGTATCGATATCCAGTTCTGGATGCGCCACCCCTTTGCCATATATAGGTTTTTCAACGCATTTTGGGTGTTTTCTGAGTGAATACGTAATTACACGTCACCATACACCTCACCCATGTGTTTTAATTATGTAATAAAGGCAGATTGGTTGTGAATAGTTCATCCGTCAGAACGATAGCGTAACTTTATTAGTGACTTTAAGTGTGATTTTTCTCGCAAATCATTGGATTTGGCGTGTCCAGTGTAACTGAGCAGGCGCAAATGGATTAAGGGCAGGAAACGGCTCAAAGACGGTGTTGTGGGAACGCCCACAGAGTTCTGCAGCAACAACGTGGCCAGGCTTTGTGATCTTGCAAATGGCACCGAGCATCCCACTCGCTTATCCTGGGTTTGACTCGTGTTGCCTGCCGGAGATTAAGCCTAGTAGTAGCCCAGGAAGGCTAATCTTAGCCATCTAGATCCTATATCTTTTTTTCACGTATCTAAATATACGTGAAAAGTGGTAATGCAGGTGTTACATTTGTGTCACTGTGTTTAAATTGATCTGATTTAAGTAATCAGATTAACAGATTCCTTCATTGTGCAATAACACAAACTGTAAGCATACAAAACCTGTTTTTCCCTTCCTAGTTCATTTGAAAGCACAGAATAATGTGGGCTTCAACAGCGACTTATATCTGAGGACTACACAAAAGATATGAAGAATCAGTTTGATGTGATGTATTAGAGGCAAAATAAAGCACGAACTGAAATGACATGAAAGTGAATTAATCCAAAACAGTCCATGAGTTTAAATTTTGTCAGCTTTTACTTTGACATTTTCAATCCATACTTCATGGTTTTACCTTTTCACATGTAAACATTTGTTTTTATACATTATTGAATAATGTGGAGTTTAATGACCCAAGGCTGTGGGGCATTTTTGGCAGCAGGAACTGTTCACTTTTTCTGACGTTTTATTTCATAGTTAGGCTGTTAGTTGCAGAAATTTGCACCTTAAC